CTCACGCTTTGTGTACCATTGCGAAGTTAAGGTAGTAAATCCTGGCGTGACTACTGCTTCGAAAACCCCAAGGAAAAACCGGACCGTCGCAGCACCGGCAAAGCTGTTTACGGCAGCGAAGCAGGTAAGTGTCACTCCCCAGAGGATTATATTGAATGATGAATATTTTGCCAGGGGGAATCGCTGCATTAGGTAACTACTAGGATATTCAACGAGTATGTATCCTGATAACATGAGTAAAATGTAAGGGAGGTGACCGACGGTAAAACCCAGACCTACCAAAATAGAAAATACTCCCCAACCATTGATACTCGTTGCCTTTGAGGTTAAGGTCTGTCTGCAGACCCATAACACTAGCATATGACAGCGTGGTTTCTGTCCATAGTAAGCATCAGTATATCGATACGTCTACTGAGAACCTTAGGAGGGGTAAGAGAGAAAAAAAAAAGGCCAGTCTTACTGTCCACGAAGTTGAGACCATAGATCAAACATAATAACTACGAGATAGGCGAGAAACCCTTAGCAACATCCACAAAGCCAAATTCGGGGGATAAACACACTGGCAACAAGTTCTTATCGATAACTTTCAGCAACCTGGTATTCGTAGCATCATCTATGTCTCGAACGTCCAGGTCCCGCCCGTCATTGAACGCACGCATCGCCTCATCTTCATTCGTGGAAAGTTTGGGGCAAACAACTACTTGTTCCACCATGCTGTTGATAACATCGGTCTCGGCAGGCTTCATTCAGACGAAGAATCCACTAAGCTCAACTCAATGTGCATGTGCAAGACACATTTATCAGAGAAAAAATGAAACCCTATCATCTAGACGGAGCGCACGGAGATTTAACAGATCTATTCTCTGGCATGGCGGGGGGCTTCTTCGGACATTCTTGGGTGTTATGGAGAGAGCCCTCGTTGAAAACCAACTGCTGAGGAGATTTTCCTCACGAAAATCGATCTGATGGCACGGATCTTGGCCTAGATTCGGACTAAGCCTGCTTATTTGTCTCCATAGACCTGTTCTATTTTCTTCCTCTCCATTGGTCTGCTCCCCCCTGTCGTCATATTTTAGTTCATGCGCCGTTGTGGAGTCAGTTTCGCGGAAAAGGAAAATGGGTCCTGAGGGTTTCTTGGTGAGCCGCTGGCGGCTCGAGCCACTGGTAACCTAACTGATGAAAAATTCGACATGATCGCTAAACCTGACCTGACCAAGGGTCATTTTACTGTAGTGATCATCATAATTTTCATGTAGGATCCTTTAGTTCGTCAGAGAATTGCAACGGTGGTAAAGTTTATTTCAAGTAATAGGGACATTGGAAAAAAGCGTAAGACGTAATAACCTGGGAAGAAAATCTATTATTGCATAAAAATAACCGATTCAAAGCGCCAGAAAGCCGAAATCAAGACCGTTTGACCGTAAAGTAGTATACGTGAGGTAGCACTTGAAACCCTAATTAATATCCAAGCTTTTCTTTACCTTCCCAGCAGCGCACGAAATCCACAAAATGCCGAACTAGACTCAACGCTTGGACATTGGATAGGCGTGGGTCGCATAAACTGTGGTAATTACTGCTCAAAGGACTCTCCCTATCCATAGTCTTATCGTCTTGGCACTCGGTTACGAATTCTCCCGTTTGTTCGAGGTGCAACCCTCCCAGCAAAGAGCCGTTCTCTCGATGTGTTTGGTATGTCCGGGTAGCTTCAAGTAGCATGCGCTCTACATGACGTGTCTTAAGACCGGTCGCCGTAGTTTGTGTATTCCCGTGGCAAGCGTCACACATCCAGACGGGTGTGTGCCCTGCTTCCTGAACGGCTTTGATGAGAGGGGGAAGAACACTGGCGACCTTCTCTGCGCCGAGCCGCGTGATAATCGTCACTCGGCCAATGTTCTCTAACAGATGTGGCTCAGGGCAAATTGCATTAAGAAGCGCGACCAGTGTTGAACTGTCAATATTTGGTCCGATCTTGACCCCAATGGGATTACGCAAGCCACGGATGTACTCGACATGAGCCCCGTCCAACTGCCGCGTACGTTCACCGATCCAAATAAAACTGGCCGAGGTATTGTAACGATCGCGGGTCATTGCGCTTTCGTAAGGAAGGTGAAGCGCTTCATGAGATGTAAAGATAGTCCCAGCTGCTGTCTCTAATGGTTCAACATCCGTCTCTTCCGGGGTCAAGGGGAAGGAGTTCGGCGTCCGGACGAAGTTGGGACTCGTGGTAATGGGCGAAGATTGAATATGCCTGATCATTTCCAAGGTTGTCCTCGAATAAAAGTCTCCCAATAGCAGCCGATACGGATCAGGGCGTCTCTCTCCCAAATTGGGGCCATTGATATTGTGTCCGCGGAAAGCGTGAGTTATAGTGCCGTCTTCCAAAGTCTCCAACGGAGACGACCGTGGCTTTGCGTACTGGCCAGCAATTCGTCCCACTGTTACGATGGGCAGCTTAAGTCCTTGCCCAAGAAGAGAAGACTGCTCCTGCAGGAGTTTGACCTTCTTTTTTATAGCATGTAGGCGTACGTCGTCGAAGCTCTCTGCGCAGTCGCCCCCTTGAATGATGAACGCCTCGCCTCGTGCCGCGGCTGCGAAGCTGTTACGGGCAATCTCGATTTTCATCGGGTTGACAAGTGCCGGCAGGGAGGATATGATGCTGATGACCGATTCTAAAGCTTTCGGGTCATCATACTCTACAGCCTGGGCGATCACGGGTTTTGTAGACCAGGACTGAGGGGTCCAGGTGTCGTGTGGGTGATGTGTCATAGTGGCAAGGTGGACAAAGATGCGGCTGTCGTCTGCTGTTATTATTATAAGAGTTCTATATATTCCTTGGTCCGAGGTATGCATTAGACAAAATATTCAGCCGTTCGCGAAGGCTTTTTATATGTATACCAGACTCCTTCGGATTGGTATACCAACGGAGTTCAGTGGCACCTCATCCATCATTGCAAATCTTGGTAGTGCTTATTGTGAGTGCAGACAGCATCATAAGTCGAGGTAAAATCAAAATCGCCTAGAAGCATAGAAACTATAGTCATTCACAGGATTCTTCCATGGTAAAACAAGTGGCTTCCACGTATAACCAGACTTTTGCACCCCATGTTCAGTTCTCAGTCAAAGTCAGACATGTCATCTCCGAGTCTCCAACCGTTGACAGTCTCTAGCCTGGAATAAGCAACAGCTGAAACCCCGTCGTGAAATCAGGGAGTTGAATGGCCAGTCAGAGCACTATATTCTTATGTTTTCTTTAGATAGACGGATATGTATAATCCATCCACTCTCTATTTTCACGTACAATTGCGACACCTGTCATTAGACAGAAACTGTCAGGTAGCGTGCATCCTTCGAATCCTTCACCACAGGGACCCATCCCAATTCGCTTGCTTGTTTTATATTTCCTGCGCCGGGCGTTGTTGTCCCACTAACTATGCACGTCTCCCGCTTTGCTCCGGGTCCAAATTTTATGCGACGCCATGCCTCAAGACAGGATTAGGCTCCACTGGGCTATGCAAGATGCATCAAGATGCAATAATGCACCCTAAGTCCGACCCCTGAAAGTCGCGTGGATTATTAGGTTTGCATAGCATTTACAACACCTTACGGGGCAACTAGCAGGTAACTTAATCAAAGATCTACGTATTGTTAGTGTGGGCAATACGCACCGCATTTATTGTTCGAGACGCTGCGATGTGGAATCTATACTCTAAGCTATATGAGCGATACCGTTAATAGAATATACTAGGTTCTTTCAAAGACTGTGTGCTGCAACAAGATATTCTCAATAGAAGATGCATTATCAAGGGCCTCGCAGTAAATCCCCTCCAACGGTCAGTGCAGCCAAGACATCAAGTAGCCCGGCGGATGCGATGTGATTGCGCTAACTTTGCTAACCTTTAAGCCGAAGGTACTTTTATGTTCTTGAGGATTTCTTTTAATGCCAGTAAGGTAATCACCTGGGGCTTGATTTGTGCTTGATGCCATGTGGCGTATATCGACGCCATCCCAGGCCAACCGCATTTCTTGGTATACGCCTGATCAGCAGCGTAGACAATTTGCTTCATATATCTACGATCGGACTCAATGTATTGTTGTACTTCACTATCTATGCGTATCCTGAGAGTTGGTTTCCAGGTCGATTAACAAATTTGACCATCCTTGAGCCCCATCGGTGCTTGTGAAAGTGCCGGCCCCGTGGTTTTCATCTCCCCCCCACATCCCAGATCTTGTTTGAGCTGACATGACACTTGTTACCCCCCGATAGAAAGTACAATCTTTCAATTGGCTCTGTTTCTCTAAAGAGTGCCGATCTTTCTAGATACGGTCAAGTATAGATCGGACCAATTTGGTCTCGAGAGCAACTCCGAGGACCATCCCAGTGCCTCTAACAGGCTCATGAATAAACCCACAACGTCGACCGCAAGAGCCGTCATCACCCTTTTGGCGTTTGAAGATGGGAGAAGTGTAACGACGTGCTAAGCACTTCAGAATTCACAACTATACTGGCAAGCATTCCTTCCTAGATTGGCGATCTTGCTTGGCAATCACCCGTCTCCATGAAGACATATGTATGCACTCGCGGTTTCTATTCGGGGATATGGTGAACCCCACAGAGACTCTCATGCATACTAGCGTGCCGAAATACGAACTGAAGCCAGCTGGTGAGATGTTCTCGTTCTCGATAACGTGAGGGAGGGGCAGACACGTGCGCTGAATGCGAGTATTGCCTTATCGCTGGGAACGGGCTGACGATCGTATCCACGTCCACCAGACAGTGATGGGAGTAAAATGTCAATACATTCTAGACGTCGGCTTCATCTCGTCAGTCCCACCTGGTGCGGGCTAGTCCGCCAGGTTCTTATCCACTAATGACCCATGAGGCTCCTACTCCGTATATCCCCTGTGTTGGATTGGCTCCAGTCCTGTGGCGCATCAATTCAAATGGACGTATTATGGACCAGTTGCTCAACGTGGTTGTTCGGCATGACACCGACAGGCGGCGCTATGGACCAGCAATGACTATTTCTGGAAAATAATGTCGATCCTCATTGGCCATGTAGGGCTAGGCATATAGGGTGGGATAACGATAGATGCATTGGACGGTACCGCCGCTTACCCAGTTCTTGGCAATGAATGTCGAGCCTTCCAAGCAATTTAGCCTGCCAGATCGCTCCGACTTTCTCATCTGCAGAGAAATGGGGCTTCATAGCGGAGCTATTCTGGACGAGGAATTATGCGGCGACGAGTTCAGTCGGTATCGGCATCTTCATTACGCTCTTGGGCCTCTTCCTCACGTGTTCACGCCACGCTGTCCAAATCGCTAGCCCTGAACTCAGGGACTGGTTGGCATTGACAGCTTTTCAAATTGCACGGCCAAGAATAAAACAATAAAATAAAAAGGGGGCAAGAGAAGACGCCAAGCAAGAGAAATTTTAAAATTTAATTCCGCCATAGACACAGCGTTTGGGTCCGGCCATGCGGCCTTTACGCTAACGTTGACGGTTTTGATCTCATACGTACATTCCTGCAATCAATGGCTAGTTCATCCTTGCTTGCTGTCGCACCTGAGGATCAGCCTATCATACGGGTATACTATGACGAGTGACGAGTCTCTGACACTCTTCGTATCGCTTGGTTCTGGTTGCCTGTGGTTTTTTCGGCCGGACGGACACATAAGTACTGCGTACTTGTAATAGAACTAACCTGTCTCAACTTGTATCTGGCGGCCTAAGTGTATTGTCCGAGGTGTGGATCGCATTTGGTTGCTGGATCCACTGGTTGGAGCGTCCCACTTGGTGTACTCCAGTATCTGCTACTTTAGGTCTTAGGGTTTCATCCGCTGCGGTTGGATCAACGGACGGATCAATCCGCACGTCGCTCTGCCCGTGTACATCCACGAATGATCACTCCCCGATGTGCTCCCGCACTGATCCCGTTCCTAAAATGCATCGGCGGGACATATTATGCTTGAGAAAAAGGGTCAAAAGCGTACCGCGGCGATTGCCGTATAGCACGGGACGTCCCGTTTTGGGTTGGTTCGGATTCCCGGCCCTAACCCGAGGTAACAATTTAAATATTATGGGTTAAAAACGAAGAATCACATAACCCCGGGAACTCGATTGCATAGGAAGAAAGATAGACAGTAGGGTGAAGTACGAGGGAAATAGCATCCCCACCAGGATCAACCCAACCCGGGGGGGGGGGGGGGGGGGGGGGGTACACTGAGACCAGAAGCTGCCTCCTTGTTAACGTCCAGTGGGAGAAAAGATAACGCTTGCCGAGCTGCTAAATTATCGTCGTTTAGCCCCGGCGCTACTGACCGTGCATTTCGACAGGTGAGCGAGAAGATTAACCAGCGAATAGCAGTCCTCTCATTCTTCCAGCCCCTTGCCCCCGGTGGTATTAGTTAGTTCTGGTCTTCTCCTTCTTTTGTCTAGACTGATACGACTCTAGTTCAGCATGTGCAGGGATGTCGCAGTGGGTTTGCAACCTCGCTTACTCTTGCTGCCAGATTGATGGATGATGCATTAGGGTTCCAACTGAGAATAAAACATCAAAAGAAAAGAAAGAAAAGGGCGTCCCGACACGTTCATCTTGCGAGATACTGGTCCTCACCGATAAGGGGTATAATTAAAGTCCTCGTTTATCGTGATCTCCCATCCTGCAACGCCGAGGATTCGAGCCAAGCGAGTAGATTGTCCGTTAGCGAGCATCAGCCGCGCATATCATAAAACGCCGCCAAAAATCAAGAGGGGCACCTGAAAGTCTAAACTCGGTAAAAAAGAAAAATATAATAAATGACGGATTAAAATTCGTAAGACGACAAAGAGGAAATTAACCTGATAGATCGTCTTGCGGCGTGCAGAATAATATAAATCATGGTTAGCTTATGGTCAGCCCAAGAGAAGGATTGGAATCCCAAACCAGGATTGGGGTCAAACAGGCCATGCCAAAAGAAAAGCCTGACTGATTAAACTGTACTGCTCAAGGTTAGATTCCGAACTATCTTCTTCGCTGCTCATACTTATCCCCGCGCTCCCTCGTGTTTTTTTGCTTTGTTTTTTTTTTCTCTTTCTATTAGACTTCCTTTGTTTCTTTGTTTCTTCCCCGAATTTCACTTCCTTCTGAGGAGCCAACTGTAATTCATACCTCTGTCGAACTGCTTGGCATTTGGTCTCATACTCCTCTCTCTCCCCGCTGCCCAGACCAGTTGCGCTATTCGCGCACATGTACAATTGCTTGCCACGGAAGGACCCTCGATGGTGGCCATAGAAGAGGATCCTATAAATTTTAAGATTTCAATGCATTCAGTGGAGGAAACAATGTCAGCCATCTCTAGTCCAGAAGGTCCAGCAACCACGTCCCAGATGGCGGACAATGGCGTGGGACCGCAGTCTGGGGATTTTAGGTGCGGTATTTGCAACAAGACCTACAGTCGACGTACGCAGCCCTTCTAGAACAAATAATGCATAGAAAAATGCAGAGACATTGCGTTGTCTGTATTTCCAATGGACAGAACTAACGGCACACAGGCGACCTCCGCGACCGACACCGACGACGGTGCATCAAGACAGCCGGCCAAGAACGTTTATCGAAACGCAAGTCCTGCGAAACATGCGCGCAGAAGAAGTTACGTTGCTCCATGACTCGACCCGCGTGCGCTCGTTGCGTCCAAATGGGGACAGCATGCCACTATCCCCCGACATCCTTGCCGCCTCGGATCGCTGATCCTCAAGACACTCCTCCTACATCATCCGCCTCGGTCGCTTCATCTAGATCTGGTCAATCGACACATTCCCATAATACCATGGGCCGGAATGTGGTTACGGATACCTCCTCAGCCATGGCGTTGGACGACGTGCCCCATTCGGGCACAAATGGCAGTCATGCGCTGCCCGCGACCAGCCAACAATGTAATACCACACCCACCCACTTTGACCCAATGTCCGCAACAGGGTGGAATCCATTCGGAACCACGAATATGGACTCTATGGTGCGGGCGTTGGACGGATCTCTGTTTAGCCCCGGGGGCTCCCTGCCTTGGGGTGACGATTTTACACCGCTGACTGATCCCATGTCTGTCGGAAATACCTTCGCTGCCGCCATGGATGAGTCAAGCAACGCAGGATCATCGTACTTCTTGCCACTCCATGAAATCTCCAAGCCAGTGGGACCGTTAGAGGCTCCCCAACCAGGAGCATTGACAGCGAATACCTACCACGCCAACTCTCCTTACAATGTTCCATCACTATCATCCTCGTCCTCAGACAGCCACTATCGGGATGGGTCCTCTCGTGGGGAGGAGAACGATCCTGCGCAGGGACTTCTCCGCGGTGACCATTCTCCGCGGTTGACCCTTGGCTACCATTTTGTCCCAAAGGTCGGTCCCTTTGCGATGCGGGATTACGATGAAACCTACCGAGACTTGTTCTCTGTGTTCCGCGAATATCCGGGTATGATCCTCGAGCGAGAGTTCTGGTCGCCCTTTGTGCATCATCGTCTGTACCGTTGCTCGATGGGTGGCATGGCCGAACCCATGGGGATCGCCTTGGCCTGTGTATCGGCACATGCGAGCTCAGTTGAGTCGAGCTATGGATTTGTAGATCGCATGATTAACGAAGAACGAGACAAGCTGGTTCGTAACTTCCACAAACATGTCGACACCCCTGAAACATGTCTTGCCGCAGTCCACGCCGTCTGTCTGTACCAGATTCTAGGCTTCTTTGGAGATAACTTCCTGCCCGCAGCCATTGTCCGGCCTCAAATCCCGAAGGAGATCAACGACAAGCGCCGCGAGGAAAATGAGCGAGCGGCTGAGATGCACAGTTCCTTTTTACTCAAGGTAAGCACTATATATAGGTTCCTCCATCCCTTACTCGGGACCACTACGTTAACCAATCACAGATGGCTCGTCGGCTACATAAGATGCATCAGGAAAAGCTCTTGACCCACCATCAGGACGAGAATGACTGGAACCGGTGGAAATATGCTGAATCTCTCCGTCGGAACTTCTTCTTTGTGAACATGATAAATATTCTCGGGGCAAAGGCCCGTTTACTCAACGAACATTACTTTGAACCCCTCGGCGATGACATCGTCCTCCAGCTCCCCCTCCCAGCTACAGAGCATATGTGGCGGTGTTGCGACGAAGAGGAGTGGGCGATGGCTCGTGAGCACGCTATGCGGCGGCCAGCCAACAGCCCTCCTGCACCCCGAACATTGCACGAGCTGTTAGAGCAAGACAAGGCCGGGACCTTGGATCCTGCTACGTTGCTGCCCATTACTCGACTGATTTTCGCATGTGCTAAGGTCGCCCCGAAGGGCGATTTACTTGGTGATTTATGATTTACGGCCGCGATCTACTAGTTTTGATTTGTTCTCTCCAATTTTGCATCATGGACATATACGATTTCATCTGTGCACAGATCGATGATTGGAGCGGGTTGTTGATACGCAATTTCTATAATGAGAGTATATACATCTGCTACCATATTATTAGCTAGATTTGGAACAAAACGTACTATGATTTTTCCGCTCCTTCAATAGTCCGGTCTATCTGTCAGTAAACCTGCCGCCGTGGGTCAACTCGGACTCTTGTGGTCACCACGTGTGTCGGAGTGAAGTGGTTTATCTTTGGTATGGATAGCATCTATTGGCCACGGACATTCTTGGTCAAAGGAACGAGCTTTTCCGAGGGGGATGGTCGAGGTAAAGACGGGTGGGACGCTTAGTCCACGTTTCCCAAGACCTTGTAGTCCTTCCTTTACTTGAATATCGAACCTAGCAATTTTCCCTGGATGCAGCCATCGAAACATCCATTGACATCCAATTGGGCCTATCTCGACGAAAAAATATTGGAATCATTTTGGACACACGGATCCTTTATGTTCTCGCTACCAGTAGTACCGAGTATATTGGTAGCGACGGTTCCAGTTGCGATCTGCGGCTGCTATCCTGGGATCAGGATCCTAGGCTTCTGACCGTCAACTGCCTTGTCCACATTTCCCGTTGTCAGCATGGCTCGTAGCTGCTAATGCATGGAGTAATTATTACATACTAGATGACCAAGACGCTGACGGGATTGTCAGAAGGACTGAGATTCGCTGAATATACATTGTCAGATTTAAACTCTGACTGGGAGAGCCAGTACTGGTATATGGTGCTTATACTTCGATTACTGGAATATATCTAGATACGGAGGATTGGTGTGATATTCGTGGGTAGCATACAGCTAAATATATCTTTGTGAGATGGTCTTCTTAACGTAATAGGATATGTAGCATGCTCGTATCCACTCGGAGATATATAGATATACCGGTCTATATCATATTATGCTACACTTGTCAGCCGCTACAAGGTTAAGCCGGATCCCACAGCGTAGTATACGAAGTTCGTTATCTGCCTATAATGTTCGAATTGAATTATATAGTGAGCAAGTATAGGTGCAGGGAAATGTAGCATGGCTGTTCTGCCACATGTTTTACAAGGATATGACCAGCATGACAACCCCAAACTAATCCACACGTGGGAAATGACGATTGGCAAGAGTCTTATTTTCCGCCCCCTTAGCAGACCCACGAACCGTTGATGTACGCAGGACATAAACTCCGACGTTAACTAGGCCCGGGGGTTGTTCTGCAACCCAGCACAACGGAGACGAATGTCCTGCATGGACGCCTCTTAACTCCCGAAACCCTGTCAAACTAGCCCCAAGCTAGCGCCCACAACGCCCCCTGATTCCCTGACCACATGGTTGAATACTACATCGTATCTACATGAGCTATGCGCTAGTGGATGTTTCAGCTATGCACATCGCTTTGACCGCATCTATACATGGCATTACGAGGGTTCCGTCTGTGCACTGGTCGCTTCTCACCCCCACTAACCCCTGCTTAGGTTGATGAGTTGTCCTTGCGTGCTCAGTGATGATCATCGCTACCAAACTATGTATAGTTCGGACGCATGTAGGACGTGTCTTAGGTTTTGGTCTGCCAAAGTCAATTTGGAGTTTTTTTCTGGCTCGTTTAATTTTATCTGTGTCTCGGCTTGAGTTCGAACATCTGTGCGTAGGTTTATGCTGTAAGTATGAGATGAAGATATCCTAATTATGGTAATGGATAGAATCCATCTTTACGGTCGGCCGAAGGTAAGCGCTTGTTGTATACGTGAACAAGGCGTTACTAATGTTGTCGTTGCCGTTGTCGCCTAGCATCCTACGGCTGTGTGATCAATTTAGGAGGTTGATAGAGTACCAGTTGATATAACTCCAACGGCTATAGCGATTAGACGCGGTGACGGTCGCACAAAGAATAATGGACACGCGGAAGCGCGTTTAAGCAACAAATAACGATCGAAGCAGTGAGCCACGAGGCAGCCATATGTCCCAGCCCAGGTACGCTCTGAAGATCTGAGGCGGTGCAGGCGACACCTAAACCCCGGCATGACCGGGGGAAACACGTTTTTGCGCCTTGAACTGACATTAATCTCCGATGCGATCTAGAGACTTAGGCCCAAGAAATCCTATGTCGTGGATCCTCGTCGCGAATGGGGGCCAATCAGCTCTGCTTATGCTCGGACTTTCCTGGATCGGTCTGCACTTGCCGTGTGTGTTATGCGGCTACAGGTCTTGGGATGCAGTGTAACTACCGTCGAGAGGCTTAGTTGCATGGTGAGATGGGAGAACGGGGGCGGTGGTCGATGGTCACGGATGGAGTTGGATGGTAGATAGGCAGGTGTGAATGGGATTTTCGATGGTATATAACTTCGCGAGTTTCGAGGGTTTATGGTCATCAACAGCAGCTTCAGCTTTAAGGATCATCACTAAAAAGCGATTTAATTCATATTGTTTGTATGAGCTGAGCGTTGGTTAAACCAAGTTTCATCTCCACCTTTTTATATCCTTCAAAATGATTTTCAATTCCAAGCTGCCTCTCCCCCCGGTCCCTTCGTGCGACTCCTTCAACTATATATTCCATCATGGTCGGCGGAATTATTCCACCGATCGGGTCTTGTATCGGGTCGATGGCTCCGATGAGACCTTGACGTTCGGAGAGCTTGAACAGAAGAGCAGGCAATTCGCCGATGCGATTCGCGAGTACTATGACATCGAGCCGAATGATGTCGTCGCTATCCTTGCTAAGGACAAGGTATGTACTGCACCGAGCTACTGGAGTGATGGATATATACTCATAGTCATAACTAGATCCAATACCCAATTGCCTACTACGGCATTCTCGCAGCCGGTGCTGTGGTTGCCCCGATCCCAGTACAGAAGGAGATGTCTGAAACCGACGTGGCTGCTCGTCTTGAACAAGCGAAAGCCAAACTGGTCATCACAGATTCAGAGCTGCTCCAGCTTACCGAGGTAGCATCCATGCTGGCTGGTTGTATCTCAGTGATGACCCTAGATTCCAATGACCAAAATTGGCCATGCGTTGACTCCCTCCTCCCTCTGGGAAATCCTGATGCGCGCATCTTTGAATTGAAGACCCCACAAGAAGTCGACCAACACAATGCCTTCATCAACCGAACCAGCGGCTCAACGGGCACAATGAAGTCCGTCCTCACCAGCCACGCCCACTATATTGCCACTATGGAGGCCACAGTGGGGACGATTCCCGCCGATACGGATCCGGACCGGGATGTATGGGTCTCTCCCCTCTCGCTGGGTTTCTTCATCAACGCAAAGCTTCACATGGGCTTGAACATTCTCCTTGGTATCCCAGTCGTGCTCATGAAGCACACTCTCGACGAAACCACCGTCGATGTCGTTTCCCGTCACAACATCACTTTCCTATTTATCACGCCCCCAATCGCTGCCCGTCTTGCCCGTGCTGATCTTCGTCACATTGACGTCTCGAGCGTCAAGTGGCTTTTGACTGCCGGTGCGCCCATGCACGAGAACCTCCGCCGCACTGTCTCGCGCCAATTCGGTGGCGTGCACCTCACCCTCGAGTGGGCTACTTCCGAGACCATGCTCCTGGCCATGCAAGTAGATGAGTCCTCCAAGCAGCCGGGTTCTAGCGGCACATTGGTCAACGGCATCCAAGCGAAGGTGATCAACGTCGAGACGGGGCGCGAGTGCGGCTACGGCGAAGAGGGTGAGATTCTGGTGCGCAACGCTATCGCTCGGTTCAAGGGGTACCAAGACAACGAAGTGGCGAACCGCGATTTCGACTCCGAAGGCTGGTTCCACACTGGTGACTACGGATACCTGGACCAAAGCTGCAATGTCTACATCGTGGACCGCATCAAGGAGCTCCTGAAGGTCGGTGAGGGCTACGGATCTCACGTGTCTGCGGCCGAGATCGAAGCAATCCTCTTCGAACACCCCACCGTTTCAAGCGTGGTGGTCGTTGGAGTCCGCAACACTGAGACCCAAGTCGACGAACCGACTGCATTTGTCATCCCTAAACCAGAGTACCGCAGCAGGACAGCTCAAGTCACCCGCGATATCGAACGCTATGCCCAGGCTAAACTTACCGGCCTGCGTCGCTTGACTGGTGGCGTCCACTGTATCTCGAGCTACCCTACAACTGGTTTCAAGATCAATCGAAGAGCTCTGAAGTCGATGGCTCCGCCTAAGATGCCGAAGATGTCTAAGATGTCGGTCGTTCCTTCGTGCTTACTGCCTACTATGTCTGCCATCTCGGCTATTCGGATGGTGTGAGTGGTGTTGCTGAAAATTGTCTCTTTTTTTGCTTGCTTTTATCTCGTTCGGCGACGGCGTTGGTTGGCATATAGACTAGATTTCCTCTCTTCTCGCGTTTTGTTGTTATTTAGACATGTCTCTTATGATACCAGTACGCTACGGACATGAATTATGAATAGACCATTTCATTTACCAACTTTCCTTCCCGATAATATCCTAAATAAGACCTAGATATTCTGTATCTCAGGTATTTAGTATCTACGGACTGAGCGTTTGCTGTGAGCGGATCAAGTCAACGTGGATCATTGTCGGAAGAACATTCTTATAATATATGACCTCCCAATTAGGAAAGGACCGGTTGAACTATGGTACTTCAATGCACTATCCATAGGTCTTTCAAGAGAGGGAGGGAGTGACCCTGTGCCTATGGAAGTTGGCCACATCCCACTCTAGTCAACACTGCCACGGTCGAGGCTACGAGGATCTTAAGTACGAGATTACCTCTGCACCGCCTAGGATGCACTTGAAAAGAAGAGCTAGTACTACATACTCCCAGTTAAAACAAGAAATCCAGTTCAACAGAGAAATTGACTACCCTTCAGGCTTATAACGTCCTCTACAAGTATGGCTATGGCCTCTTTCACATATTCAAAGCTTCCATCGGAGTCTGATACGACCCGCATGCTTCGTCTCTTGCCTCATAAAGAAAGCAAGGCTCAAATTCGGGGCGAGCTCATCGATTACGATTTGTCAGATACTGACGGTAGAAGTCACCTTTACGAGGCGCTTTCTTATGTATGGTATGACGACGACGGGAGCAGTGACAGAGAACCTCGGGCGATCATCTTGAATGACTGTATATTCTCTGTTACAAAGAACCTCTATGCAGCTCTCTTACGCCTTAGAAACCATCGGTTTGTTCGAGTGCTGTGGATTGATGCTATTTGTATCAACCAGAGTAATGATGATGAAAAGGAGAAACAGATCCCACTTATGCGGACAATCTATGCACAAGCCAATTGTGTTGTTGTTTGGCTTGGGGAGGCTAGGAACTATAGCGACGAAGCGTTTGAAAGGCTTCGTAGTGTAACAGATCGCACTGCAAAATCCATAATGGGAGGCTTTGATGAACGTGAGATGCTGTCTGTATGTGGGATGCTGTTACAGCGGAAATGGTTTCGCCGTATATGGGTACGCGAGCCTTCTAAATTCTCGACACATATTACTGACATGCAAAAATAGGTGCTTCAGGAGGTTGGTGTCGCACGATGCATCTCTATTATGTGTGGTCAGACCGAGATGAGTGGCGATGCGTTCTGTAAAGGCTTCACTGGATTGGAGCCCATTGGTTTTCGTTCACTGAGCCATGTACGCCCAGTCATCCACATGATGAGAAACGCAATTCTGCGGCCAAAGTACTGGCCTGCTTCGCGTGGAAAACTCTCTCTAGGTGAACTGATTGATATGTACCAAAGCCACCAGGCCACCGTGCACCATGACAAAGTGTATGCGCTGCTGGGCCTGTGTGCTGATGACCCAGAAACATCTGCTTTGAAACCAAACTACGCCCTCCCTTGGAATGACGTCCTCAGGCAGGTCACTACTTATGTTTTTGGAGAAAAGTGTTTAGTGCAAACCTGGCCTGGCAGGGACATAGCAGTGATAAAAGGCAAGGGATGGATATTAGGTCATGTTCATTGGGTCGGTGAATCTTCTGATGATGGCCAGCTGGATATTAAGATAGAATTGAACGAAACTGCTAACTGGGTGAGCGATCTATCTCATAGGAAAGCTCAATGGAGATGCAGAGCCCCTCAAGCATTAATACAGGCGGGAGATATTATCTGCCTTCTACAAGGCACTTCAAAGCCAAGCATTATCAGACTGTGCGGGGACCATTTCGAGATGGTCATGACTACGATAACACCGCGGGGCATATACGGAGAGGTTTTTGACTTGAAACTTGAGGAATGGCATTCTACAATTGGATTTCTCTACGATATTCTTCTTACATGGAGAATACCTCGGAACGGTGAATACTATGATATTGAGTTGCCAGAACCGGTTGAACTCATGAATATAGTACCAGAATACCAGGAATGCCCTTATGAGGCGAAATCAAGGTCATACAACATGGTGCTCACCGTGAATAATATTGCTCTAACAATACTTGAGAGACGGACAAGATTGGGAAGGAGTGCCTTAGGAAACATAGTTTTTCAATGCACAGAAAACTTTCCATTCTCTGAAGGTGTGATCAAGGCAACCAAGGCAGTGACAGAAAGCACTGAAAGACTTGGATATGAATATGGATGCATAGCATTATTCATGGGATATCGAGGAAACAATCTACCAATCACCGAAGACGTGGTCAAGGCAGCGGTGTCAGCATACCATGCAGGGACAACTTTGAGATTACTTATTCAACACTACGGAAAGAGTCTACCTATCACCGAAGATGTCATCAAGGAAGCGGCTATGCATGGCGAGCCTAAAACCCTACAATTTCTCTTAGACTATCGAGGAAACACCCTACCAATGTCCGACGATATGGTCAAGACAGTGGCTAAGAATTGCAGACCTGAAAACCTGTCACTTCTCTTGCAATATCAACACAAGAGCATACCGAATTGCAAAGAAGGGGAAACGCAGCATCGATCACTGTTGGCTCACTGGTTTTTCTCTACTAGTCTCTTTTTCAAAAGCCTCCTGCCCTCAGTGTAGACCAGAAGGCCAAACCACTGTATAATCTCAACGCATACGCCATGATATTCTATTGCCTTCCTCGGGATCATATCCCTAAGATCTGTCTTCTCAACTTTCCTTGCTCTCGATTCCCCTTCCGCTTTCTGTTTTTCCTTCCACGAAACCCTTCTCTATAAGAGCCCAACCAGCTCCTAGATATAAAAAGCAATGCTGGCCATGATCTCTCCTGCGACGACACGCCATAATTGGGGCAAAAAGCACACATCCACTTTCCAGTCCGAGATTCACTGTTGCTATGGGTGGTACGTTTATCTTATGTGCTTTCGTTCATGATCTATAGAATGTTGAGAGGCGGGATTGGGTTTACTGTTGGTGACTTTGAAGGTAGTATACAAGCAGATTGAGGATGGTGCGTTAATATGGGTTTTCTTTGTTCTATGATGTGGTCCTGGACTATGTGTAATTTGGTATCGATGTTGGAAGAGTGTCTGGACATGCAAGAAAAGTAAGGCACGCCACTAAATAAATGTAAAATGACAAGTGAAGAGAAAAGACAAAAAGTGAAGTTGGGAAGAAGATGAAGAGCATGAAAGACAGTGTAAAGGAAAGGATATCATGCATCCTAAAACACACCCTTAAGTCCTCCCCTCTTAAACCCTCCCCAAATGACGAACTTCGCTTCAGAGTCCTCCCCAACATCATCTGTTTGTCCTAATTGCTCATCATTCGGGAGGAGAATCACATTTCGAGGGTACAACTTCCCCAACAGAGCCAAGGCAATCGTCGGATCGTCGACCGGTATAACATGGAATCCAACCATCTTGGTTGTGCTCAGTCCCCATCCGGGCTGGATGAGGATCTCGGACGCCGAGTGCAGGAAAACGGTATGGTTTGTTGTACTATCGCGTGTTTCTTCGAGTGCCTCGTACGAGTGCCGCAGTCCGCGGGCGATTTGCCCAACATCTACCCTTGCTGTGTCGCCGTTTTTGAACTCCAGACGCAGCTCGAGACCCCGGACAGCCGACGTCGAGGACCCTACTTGAAGCCCTATGCCGGCTGTCTGGAGCTCCTCCTTTTGATTCGGAAGGTCGATTGGGTAGCGGGTTAATATCGTCGGCGGTCCTGCTGGTATGTCTCCGCGGGGCGCCTCGTGATAATCGGGGAAATGGTAGTCGAAGAGAACCTCCATTGTTGCAGAATCTATTTTAGACGGCACATATCGCAACAAATGGTATGGCACCACACCGCCTGCCAGGATGGCAGGGAGGATCAGACCATGCGTATACTGGAAGCCGTAGCCGCCCGTCATTGTGACGGGAAGGTCTGGGGCGAGCACTGCCCGAGCTAAGGACACAACAGAGGCCTGTGTGATGTGTCCGGCGAACACGGTGGTGAGAAACCTTTCTCGTGGTGCTTCGAGGTGACGAATGCCGCGAGCCCGGCCGTCGACTGGGATCGGGACTGCGTAAAAGTTCTGAAAGGGAAGCAGCGCGTCACGTAGAACCACCATCTGACGCATGTATTCATTGAGAAGTTGCATATGATGTGGCCGGGTACAACGAGCATACATTAGAGTCAGACTGGACGGGAGGAGAAGATGGCCATCGCCGGGGCCGCGCAGGTGTAGGTCCGGATCATATGGTTCGTGCGCGTATTCGCGTGCCCACTGGACAAGTACCTGACCTATCCGACGGGCTTGGTCTCTAATCTCGCGGCGACTGATGTCTGAGAGATCGTACAAGGGTAGTGAAGACTCCCGCATGTCGGTGGATAGATTGGCGGCGACATTGTCTAGCAGGACGATGCGTGCCGGCTTTTCATTTGGCGGGTCAGGGCCCAGATGATGCACAACAGTGTCTAGCAAGGGCGCGAAGCGTCGGACCAGCTCGCGAGCCGTATATACTCCTGCTGGTATTGACCAGCTTGTTGGTGAGCTATGTCGGCGGTTGGGAGGTGTTAGAGCTGATCCCGGTTGACAAATTCCTGGTGGCCCGCAACTATACATCGAGGCCTCAGAGAGGGACGTATTCGCCATCCTGATGGTCATCGATTATGGAAGCAGTACAACCCAAACAACAACAGGGTAAAAAAATCTCAACCTGGAGAGGTGAGAGCGGCAAGAGGCCGCTCTGTGCGAACAGCCCATTCTAATATGAGCGCGGAGAGAATTTGCTGGTCTCCGGGCATGGCGAAACTGACATACAAATGAAGTATTCCGAGGTGGTTCAATTCCAGGACCGCGGAGGAGAGTTGAATATGATCTCCCGGAGAAAGGTGGGTATGACCACAGATCTCCGAGAGATTATAATGTACTACTATTTAAAGAGGGCGCATCGCCCACCCGACGTTCATAAAATGCACTAAAGCTCCGTAGCGGAAGCCAGGTCACGTTTTTCACCAAAACCCCTCCCCCCGTATCATTAGTAAAACATGGCATGCCTTCTGTTGATTCCAAACAGAGTGGTCACTTCCTAACATCATAAAGAAATAAAAACATAATCCTATTTCTAAATCATGAGCACCCAGACGGAGATTTTCACGGGCACGGAAGGCAGTTATCTTTTGCCTCACCATATCACCGAGGCGGATCGTCTCCAACGTCAGCATCGCCATTTTGCAGCCGCCTCGGATCAGACCTATTTTGGCTTCACTCTGCCACCGTCAACAGGATGCCCACTACGTATCCTCGATAGTGGGTGTGCGGATGGTACGTAGCCAGCTTGTAAATCATGGACTGGGCTGAACAATGTAGGGGTCTGGTTGCACGACATGGCGAAGCGATACCCGGGACATTCCTGGGATCTCCACGGCGTGGATATCGCGTCCCATTTATTCAACAGCAGCGTAGATATTGACTTTCGCTACCATGACATACGACAACCTTTCCCGTCGGACTGGAACTGGGAAGGCTCTTTTGATATTATTCATCAGAGGTTGCTAGTATGGGCTCTGAGAAAGGAGGAGTGGCCTCAAGTTGTACGAAATTTGCAAGCGTTATTAAAGCCCGGTGGTACTATCCAACTCGTCGAGTGCCAATGGCTCCGTCCAGAGTACTGGGACACTCATCCCCAACAGCGTCTACTGGGGTTGGTCCAGGTATGGGCGACGGAGGGTAACGGCATGGACATCCATCTCGCCGATAAACTGGAGCCGCTGCTGAAGAAGCTTGGGTTCAAAGATGTGACGACAGTCCGGTACCCTCTACCATATGGTGCTAAAGTCAAAGACCCTGCCAACCGCGACACATCGGCAGAGCTGTGGGTAGAAAGCTTCCGTCATTTGGCGAGGCTGATGGGAGGTATGTTTCGTTTCGCACTTTGCACGAAAATACGCTAACCGGAGTAGACGGGGGAATTCCAGGCGTCGCGAAGACCCCAGAAGAATATTTCGCTTTTCTGGACCGGCTGGTGATGGAGATGAAAGAAAAGGGCTACGTACCGGAAATGCGTATGGTGTCTGGTCGGAAGGCGTAGCTATATCCAGGAAGGGTGGAAGGGAAAACAAGGAAGAAAAAGCACAGTCAAAAAGACTTTTATTCAATGTACAAATTATCTCCGATAGCATGAATTCACGAGGGGCGCGAAATGTTAAGATATGGCACAATAACCATCCATCTCCGAGATGCCAAGCCGACCATTTACGTCCGAAGTGAGAGAGACTCGAATGTCTTGCCGCGCGGTGCAGGAAAGTACCCCACTAAGATGGCTTGAGATGTACTCCGTCAGCCCCTTCAGTTTACCGAGAATATGCTTAGAAAGTCGATAGAAGGGAGAGAAGATATCACCAAGCTCGGATTGATTGAGTAGCATGCTTAATGCCGCCAACTCTTATGCTTAGCCGGTTGGCATCAAGCATTGCAAAGCTTAACCCAACAATTATGTTACCGGTCTCTTTTCTCTCAAACCAGCGTGTACTCCTGCAGCCAAGTGGTCGCCCTTGGCATGATATTCGCTCGGAATGTGAAAGCGAAACTGGGGTAACCAGGACCTAGATGGGGATGAGCGAGGTGCAGTCGGATTAATGCAACATATTTTTACAACGCAGAACACAGGGCCCCTCTTGAAAGCCCGAGCTGAATTTTGTAGAGCCTGCTGGCAGCTATCATTCCCAGACCCACTCACACAGTCAGCTGTCGTCCGGAATTCTGGAATGCAAAAGGGTGGAGGAATGGTATTTTGGTGTGACATTAATGAGTCCATTTCCATCCAAATATTCCACTACAAAAATGCACACTCCCTACATTCCACTATCACAATCATGATTCGCCAGCACCCGAGTAGAGCAAAGAGTTATATATCAAGAAGAGATCTATAAAATACATGGGTCTCTCTGTAGCAGACGTTGTTCTCTTTCCTCGATCCATCTCCGTCAATTAGGAAAGGAAATTGTCTCTTTGCGTAACTTTTATTCAATTATTAACACCATTCTTCTTTGGCCTCCTGAGTCCACCGCTATGCAGTTCTCCTTCTCTATCGTCGCTCTAATTGCCCTAGGTGGCCAAGCACTCGCCCAATCCGCAACAGGAAACTACGTCGTCACAGAAAGCGGCGATGCCTTGACTGCAAATGAGGATGGCCAGGTTATCTTCAGCCCAGTCGATAGCGCAGATGACCAGATTTGGGGCTTCAACAGTGTCGGCCCCGACACCGTCGTTATCCAAAACCAAGCTTCGGGAAACTACCTCAACTGCGACGCCAGCGGAACTCCCTGCACCACGTCCGCCGACGCTCAGATTTTTGAGCCAATTAAGCGGGGTACAGACTTATACCAGATCGCGGATGAGTCGGGTGACTTATTCCTTGCTGAGTCGTCAGATAAGACGATTCATTTGGTTCTGGATGTGCCGGCTGGTGAGAAGACGTTGTTCACGCTGACTCGGCCTACTGAGTGTGAGCTCTAGCCTGTTCTTTTTTAAAATTTTTATGGTCAGGTTCTAATTCAATAAACCAGAATTTTACTGCCTTGTCATCCCAATGACTACCAGATAGGTGGTACGGCCGGTTGCTGTCTGGTGGCCACTTGACATGTGATGGTGGACTCTGGTCGAAGGGGTTAACTGGAACAAAGTCCAAGGGACGGTAGCATAGGAAGAAATACTGGAAACCAGTAACCCGAGAGATCGGGTCTATGGGCAAAGATATTGGCCGCGAGTTTCGGGACACGGTGCTAGAGACATTTTATCACTTCGATCTAAGTTAATTGATCTGTCATGCTGAGCCTGTGCTATGTAGTACGCGCTATGAAGGGAACCATGCTCTTTAGCAGGCAATAGGTAGCAGCCCGTGATTCTTAAGATCTCCATCCTTTCTTCTAATTTGCTGCTGGCTTTCTTTATATTTTCGACGGTATATATAAGCCAAGAGCTAAGGAATGGCTGAAACCTGATACGCCTGTAGAGAAAACAAAGACTTGTCTAATTTCCGTAGTCGTATTCCCAAGCAGGTGTCATGTACCTCGCTACACCCTTGCGATTTTTTTACATATATATATATATAGCTGGCTAGTGTCTCTTTTTTGTAAGGCTACCCGCCATCTGAATGCAGCTAGCGTTTGAATACACACAGCGATAAGAATGGCTCAACGCTTTATCAGTCAACTCTGCAAATTTGAGAACGCCCCTCCGTGCCTGGGGGAATAAATACAACATAGGTTGCTCTTGAGCCACGAGAACGAGAGGGTCAAACTGCAATATGGCCGTAGTGGTACTCACAAAAACTATCCACAACGTGCAACCCACGGGCCACAGATCCTCATCCAAGATCCTCATACATGACTTTCCACTAGAAACGCACGTCTACAGGACAGGATCATCAGGTTTTGAGACCAGCATCTGATTCAGGGCACCAGTAGTTTGTGGCTAGTCTAACCACAGGTTGTCGATAGGGCAGCGGATACTGTGGGTGACACACAGTTCTTCTGAAAAGTGAATTACACCAGTAAGAATGCCCCTAAGTCTCTCTTATATACAGGGATGATGGAACACACAAACAAAGTGGGGCCTTATCTACCCCAGATTCTGATACCAAAGTGGTTGTCGTCCGGTGCGCATATGACATCAGGAGAGGACGCTTGCAAACGCACCGTTGACACAAGATATGCAAGTGAAAAAGATTTTATTAAGGCGGTAAAATGACAAGGTCCTCAAAGGCCTGGACGCAACGGTTTTCATGGAGCCCAGACTGGGATATCGTTGTTTAGCATAGTCGTATGAATCTACTCTCAGGGATCGAAAATGATTAGGCGAGAGAAGTGTGGTAATGCTCATTCAAAGTAGAGCTTTGCGATATACATTTGAATTAATAGCTGTCTTTCTTGGACCTAATATCGCTTATTATGAAGTGAAACCTCCAGCCAGTTCGGAGGTCTCCGCGTTAGGGCTTTAGAAATAGTACCCTCACATCGACTGTCCGAAAGGGGCAGGAGAATAAGGAGGATACGCGAGACGAAGCCGAGCAGAACAGAAAAACTTTTATCCGATGCCATGGGGTAAGGGCCCACTTGCCGAAATTTGGAGCATACGCTGCATAATTCTGGGATAAAAGGGGGAGTCAGATGAGCATAATTCTGCATAGTCTGATCACACCAGCACGAATTTACAATGGAGGCGTCCTCCAGTCTTACACCAAGTGGGCAAAGCATTAGCCCGACGCCTTGGCTCAGTTAGTTTGGCGATATGATTGGTGGCCGATTAGATACCTGGGTCTTTAGATTTCTTTTTAAGGACCAGGGTCAATACGATTTCGAGCAGGGAAACTACCATGCATTGTGCCCAAAGGCCCGTATATAAGCGGCTGATCCTCCGTTTCGGTGCCCTTAGCAATATGCACTTGCCGTGTAACCCTTTCCTACAGCCAACCGTCGGGTGAAAAGTCCGTATCCAAGCCTCATGACAGAGCCTACACCTAGTGTTCTTGAGAAGGGGGGCAAGGCGGAGGAGTCAAACAGGAGCTCAGAAGGGTACAACGACCTTGAAAATGTGCCGAAAGGCGATGATATGACTGTGGTCGACTGGGATGGACCCGACGACCCTGAGAATCCCTTTAACTGGTCGACTCCGAAGAAGGCGCGGCAATTAGTCTTCATGGCATTCAATACTTTTGTCAGGTGAGTGCATATAAAGTAAAGTGATAAGGACAGGGGATTAGGGCTGACGGAGAATAGCCCTCTAGCATCGTCCATGTTCGCCCCAGGCGTCCAATATGTCATGCGCGACTTCCATACCACCGACCAAATGCTGGGATCGTTTGTTGTTTCCGTCTACATCTTGGGCTACATGCTAGGGCCCTTCCTCATCGCGCCCCTGTCAGAGATATATGGCCGTGTTCCGCTATACCACGCTTGCAATGTGGTCTTCCTGGTGTTCACCATTGCTTGTGCCGTGGCGCAAACCTTGCCTCAACTGATTGTGTTCCGTTTATTCGCAGGTATCGCTGGCGTTTGTCCCATCACTATCGGCTCCGGGACGGTCGCCGACATGGTGCCAGTGGAGAAGAGAGCTGGTATTATGGCGATCTGGGCTCTAGGGCCTATCTTGGGGCCTGTTGTTGGACCCATTGCGGGTGGGTTCCTCGCCGAATCAGTGGGCTGGCGATGGGTGTTTTGGGTGCTTGCGATCGCGGTAGGTAACTTTACTGTCAGTCACTGATAAGAGTATGATGCTGACAATCTAGACCGGTGTCATGACGATCGGGTGTCTGATATCCTATCGTGAATCGTATGCCCCAGTGCTTCTACGACGTAAGACTGAGCGACTGCGCAAAGAGACCGGTAACCCCAATCTTCGCTCGGCCCGTGGCGACACCAAGATTACCAAAGAGCTATTCATAACTGCACTTGCACGACCAATGAAACTTCTCTTCCGTTCACCGATTGTATTCCTGCTTTCCTTGTTCGCGGCTGTCACATACGGGTACCTATACTTGATGTTCACCACTTTGACGCCAATTTTCCGGAACACCTACGGCTTCTCATCCGGTCTGGCCGGTCTCGCCTACCTGGGCTTCGGTATCGGAAGTATTATGGGTCTGGGGATCTGTGGCGTAGTCTCCAACCGCATCGCTGTTAGTCACACCGCACGCGGCTGTTTCAAACCGGAATCGCGTCTTCCCCCCATGCTATTTGGAAGCTGGGCCATCCCAGCCGGCTTGTTCTGGTATGGTTGGTCGGCACAGGCCCATACTCACTGGATTGTGCCGATTCTCAGAACGGGCGTCTTTGCGATCGGCCTTATGGTCGTGTTTATGGCGTCGAATACGTACTTAGTGGATTCGTACTTGAGGCATGCCGCGTCCGTCACGGCTGCTGCCACGGTGCTGCGTTCGTTAATCGGTGCAGTGCTCCCGCTGGCTGGTCCATCCATGTATGAGGCGCTGGGTCTGGGATGGGGGAACTCATTGTTGGCCTTTATTGCGCTCGCGATGTGTGCCTGCCCGTTACTCTTTTGGAAGTACGGAGAGTTTATTCGGACTCATCCACGGTTCCAAATTGCTTTATGATGTGCATTGACAGCCTTTTCGGGTTTCAAAAGTTCTCATATACATGTAATAGAGTGTTCGGCGTCCCTTGTTGTTCATAATCTCTTTTCCTTTTCTTTTTTTTCTTTTTCTTCTTCTTCTTCTTTTTCTTTTT